TATAAAATTAATTAATATTCAATTATAATGAATAAAATTTTAAAAATTCAAATACAATTAACTAAAATTTTTAAATATCAAATCAAATATAAATAAAAATCAATTCAACATAAATAACTAAACCAACAATTAACAAATTTATTCCAAACATAAACAAAGATTAATCCAAGCTAAACTAAAACATAAGTAAAAATTAATTTAACATAAATAAAATAATTAAACCAACATAAAAAAAAATTAGTATTTTGAAAATAAAGAAAATTAGTACCAAGAAGGGTAAGGCTGCAACAGAACCACATATGGTTTCGGCAGTCTAGATAGTGTTGACTCAATGTACTCCAAGAGGGGGGTGAATTAAAGTTCTAAAAATTCTCTCATTTTTCAACCACAAAACTCAAGCTAAAGAGAGTAGAGAAGAAGAGCTTGCATAATGAATTTATAGAGGTTCGGTCCAACCACTTGGAGCCTAATCCTCTACCTTGACTTCACTCACCACGGATTTCCTCCACACTCTTCACTAAGAAAGACAAGGGTGGCTTAAAGGAGCCACTCAATTCTTTTACAACAAGATGAGAATTTCTCTCAAACCTCACCCCTTTACAATGTAAACCCCACAAATCCTCTCAATAGATCACTCTTGAAGGAATCAACACACCCCCAAGATCACTCCCTACTAGCACAAGAAGAGGATTACAAGCAATGATCACTCAAAGATCAAAAACTCAAGTTAAAGCTCAAGTAGGTAGGTAAAGATATTCAATGCAAATGTTCTATAAACTTCTTCAAATTTGTTTCCAACCATATTTATACCCCCTTGCTCAAAAATAGCCGTTACTAGCCGTTGGAGGTCATTAAATGCTCTGAAGGATGCAAAAGCCGAGTTGCAGGATTGTCAGGAGAGCCGGCTTAACATTCTAGAGCCGATTCTGCAGAGCCGGCTTACACTTTCAGAGCCGGCTATCTGGGATTGCAGGACATTCTGTTTTCCTCGAGAGTCGGCTGCAAGACTTTGAGCCGGCTTTGGAACTCCGATTTTAAATACATTAAATATTCTTCAAAAGACTCGATCGTTGTGCATTAAATGCACCCTCACAGCCGGCTGCAAAGCTAGAGCCGGCTTTGCGTATTTTCTCCGCGCGCGCCAAACAACGGTCTTCAAATTTTGCCCGTAGAGCCGGCTGCAGCTTCCAGAGTCGGCTTTTTGCATTCCATTTCACCAGAGCCGGCTGCACTTTACCAGAGCCGGCTCTCTGCACACTTTGAATCCTTTTGGTCTATTTTTAGTGCAATCCAAGTTTATTTGCAATCTTTTAGCAACTTAACTACACACTTAAATAAACCAATTAGTCACTCAAATGTGTTTTGTAATCATCAAAATCATAGGTACAACAATCTCCCCCTTTTTAATGATGACAAAACACTTTGAGAATTAATTAATGAAAGCACATATATACTTCAATATTAACCAGAATTTTAGCACAAGGTACTCTAGAAAATGACATTAAATTCAGCATATTCTTCTCCCCCTTTTTGTCATTCATCAAAAAGCACATAATTAACAAACTCCCCCTTAATTCATGCACATCAATCTTTAAAGCATTTAAGCATGATAACCATTAAGAAAAGCAATTTAAGCACAAAATGCTCCCCCTCAATAAGAGCATATTATCATCAAAATCATAAACACAAAGCATGATAACACAAGTAATGCCATTTCCATTCATAAAACATAAAATCCATAAAAAGGTTCAAGACATATCCATAGTCAAATAAAAGCATAATATGCATAACCCTAGGATGTCCATCCTAAAGGTTAGCCAAACTAAAGAAATATCAAGTCAGTTGGCATCAGGTGGGGGTGGAGGAAAAAAATGGTTAACAAGCCGACCAAGATGTCCTTCCACGTTAGTCATTCTCTCTCTCATTTCTGTCCGGGAACCATAAAAGTCGGTGTGCAGCTGCTGCATCTCAGATATCATTGACTCCATAGTTTGACGGTTAGTTCTTTGCATGGAAGCTCGAAATGGTCTTGGGCTGTCATCTTCATGTTCTTTTGCCCCTTGTTCTGCCATTTCTTGATCTGTATCAGCTTCTTCTTCATCCTTTTCTTGTTCCCCTTTCTTTATCCACATGCCATTTCTAAATAAACAGTCCATTTTCTCAAAAGAGGCTTTGGTAAGTGTAGTCCCACCAGGAACCGTTCCGAACCGAAAGGAGGTAAGATTAATATTGTTCCTCTTCACCAATCTAGTAATTAGAGCACCATGAGGAAGTCCCGTAGTGGGTGAGTAAGACTTGATTATGCTTCGGAAAATGTATCTTCCTAGATTCACCCTTTTTCCGTTAAGAAGATAATCGAACCAGGGAAGATCACTAGCAAGAACATAAGATTTAGAACCCTTCCTCTGAGCAATAATGCGAGATATAATCCACTGCAATGCTCTATTCTCTGGTGTAAGAGACCCCACTTTAACTTGATTTTCAGTGCAATTGGGGGCAATTGTGGCTCTAACTAAAGCATGATTCACATCTACAAACTCATCATCTCCTCCTTCGGGTATATCTAATGCAGCACAAATATCCCTTGGTGAAAATTGAAATGACACCCCAGTAACCATAGTTTTGCATTTATTTCCTCTTGGTTTCAGATTAGCATAAAATTGATGGACAACTTCATAATACACAGGCTCTTTAATTTCTATATAATTCTTCCATCCAAGTTCCCTAAAGATTTGCTCAACACGCATATCTCCTTGAGGAAATTGACTAAATTTCACACAATTGCAAGATAAAACAGCCATATTCTTGATAATATCATACTGTGCAGAGGCTTGGGTATCCAAAAAAAGATTTGATTGTGGGATGTTACCTTCCTCTTGTGCTTGACCATCGGCACTAGAACTTCCAATCTGTTTCCTTTTGCTTCCGCCCCTTCTTGAAGCCATGAGAGATAGAACTCAGCAAAACCCAACGAAAATTGGAAGCTTGTGGATTTGAGTTGGGTAGGCAAGGATTTGATGGTTTTTGAGTGTTTAAGGGATGGGTTTTGGAGATTTGGAGGGATTTAGGTGTTTGGGAGAGTGAATGGCGAGATTTGGGAGAGGAGAGGTCGCGGGTTTGGGGAGGAAATGAAACAGATCTGACTTGTTTGTGCGAGGAGAGAGAGAAACTCGAGCCTTAAAAATCTGCAGGAAAGCCGGCTATAATTGTAGAGTCGGCTGTAAAGCGGATCCGGGTTTGGGTCGCCTGCAGGTTGAGCCGGCTGCAGAACCTAGAGTCGGCTGTGGTTTAGAGAGAGAAGACTCTCGGGTTTTCTGGGTTGAACCGGCTGTGAACCTAGAGTCGGCTGTGGTCTAGAGAGAGAACACTCTCGGGTTTTTGGTTGAGCCGACTGTGAAAAGGGTTGAGCCGGCTCTACTGGCCTTGATTGGGACAAACAGAAAGTTTGGGGCTGTTTTGAAGGGAATGCACCTTAATTTGATATTTTTTCATTTAACTACGTTTAAATTGGACATCAACTACTAGATAATGCAACTTTAGTCATATATCAATGTATGCATCATCAAATATCATGAATATAATCAAGGTACATAAATTCTAATACTTGAATTCATTAAATTCAAGAATCATATCAAGCACTAGGATCCAACATACCAAGCTCATTTCTAAGGAAGAAAAACCTATCACGATCAAGAGGCTTTGTAAAAATATTAGCTAATTGATTTTTAGTGTCCACAAATAATAAATCAACATCACCATTAGCAACATGATCCCTAATAAAATGGTGCCTAATTTCTATGTGCTTGGTGCAAGAATGTTGGATGGGATTTTTAGTGAGATTGATAGCACTAGTATTGTCACATTTAATAGGAATATGATCCATAGTAATGCCAAAATCCAAAATTTGTTGTTTCATCCACAACACTTGAGCACAACAACTTGCGGCGGCTATGTGTTCGGCCTCGGTTGTAGATAGAGCAACACTATTTTGCTTTTTGGAAAACCATGATATGAGCATATTACCAAAAAATTGACAAGTTCCACTTGTACTTTTTCTATCAATCCTACAACCTGCATAGTCCGCATCTGAATATGAATGTAAGTCTAAGGAAGAACCCTTAGGATACCATAAACCAAGGTTGGGAGTATCCTTTAGGTACCTAAAGACTCTTTTAACCGCAATTAAGTGTGACTCCTTAGGACAAGCTTGAAATCTAGCACACAAACAAACACTAAACATTATATCCGGTCTACTTGCGGTTAAATAAAGCAAAGAACCAATCATGCTTCTATAAAGTTTGGGATCAATAGGCTTACCTCCTTCATCCTTGTCTAGATTAATTGAAGTGCTCATAGGAGTAGCTATTGGCTTACAAGTCTCCATGCTAAACTTCTTAAGCATTTCCTTTGTATACTTGCTTTGGTTAATGAAGATGCCTTCTTTGGATTGTTTGATTTGAAGTCCCAAGAAGAAGTTGAGCTCACCCATCATGCTCATTTCAAATTCACCTTGCATAGCTTTGGAAAACTCTTGACAAAGAAAATCATTAGTAGCACCAAACACAAT